GAAACCAATAAAAGATGTTTCAATGTTAGAACGAAATTATCAATTACCTTGACCTAAATGGTAAACTCATTGACGTAAATTTTGCATACAAGGGAATTGAACAAAAATGTTAAATAGTATACGTAATCAATCACATTTTCTCATTACCAAATTGGTGTACTAATTTACGTTCCATGTTTAATATGCTTCTCTTATGTTTGAAATAAGTCGCTTGACATAAACAAACTACTTTATTTTCCACCTATTTTTTTGCTATTTTGAAAAAGGTACCACTTACCACAATTAATTTGATCACACCAACAGAAAAAAGTGAAAAAAACAAGAAGGAAAAACAATAAAAATGTTTATTTGCAAACAATAGATTAATCTGCAACCATATAACCAATGGCTTATTTCTTCCTAATTCTACTTTCCTTTTGATACTTTCCTTCTGATTCTTAATCTAGTTCTAGTTCTATTAATTAACATGGTAAATTATTGAATTAAAAATTTGTATAGAGAAAGGAAATTAAACAATTAATATATAAAGCTAAATTGTACAGACGTAATATGCATATATTTATATCATAATACTATTGCATGTTTGAAATAAATGGCTTGTAAGTAAGAATTATTTATTTATAATTAATAAATTACCACAATTTGATAGTACCAACTAAAAAAGTGAAGCAACAAGAAGGAAACACCAACTACCATAAGATAACTTATTCATGAGTCACGCTATTTTACTCATAACAAAGAAAACAAACGACGATAGATAATAAATCACTAGAAAACGTGCGGTCTTTATCGTAGAGGTGGCGTTTGGGTGATTGGGAGCTTTAGTTCCAGCCAGAGTTTGAGCATATCTCTAATGTGTAAATGATGTTCATTTGAAAGCCTACACATTGGCATATACCCAGAAACTTAGACAAATACGTTCAAACAAAAAATATTATATAAAACAAAGCTAATTAGTAAAATGATTGATGTTTTATATACCATGAGTATATTGATAAACTGACTTGTCCATATCCAGCCTCTCCAAGGGACTCAAGAACTTCTTCTTCACGGGTGTAAGGAAGTAGACGATCCTCTACGACAAAAACAATCATAAAGAGTTATAGCATTACCTTGTGACCATTATATAAAGAGGAAAATACAGATTACCTGTTCCACATGTAAAAAAGATTCTCTGCGTTGCAGCACGAGCTACAGCCCCAACTGTATATTCTATACTGCTTGTTATGCTCCTGCAAGGTTTGAGTAATTAGTAAATTTAAATATATATTTTAAAAAATAATAGAGATAAGTGAATGAGTAATAGAAGATAATTATACCCCACAATAGAAAGCCACCCATTAATTCCAACAACAACTCGGGGATTTATAGGATAATGTCCAAGAGCACAATTTGTTGCAAATTGGAGAGCTACTACGGCACCCATGCCAAAACCTCCTACTCCTTTTACGACTACATAAAAATAAAATGTTTAGTTAGAGATCTGCTGCATATTACATAACATGTTAGATGTGTAGACAAAGAGCCTAACATTTACATTTTAAATGATTTTCTAGAAAGAAAAAAAAAATACAAAACAAAAAGTTCGGATGAAATGTTAGATATATATTAAAACCACATTACAAATACAAATAATTAAATAAGCCAGAAGATTAATAGGGTAAATTTACCATCTAGTGGTTCACGCAATAAAATATCAGCAACATATTTAGCTGCGGAATCTAATGCCTCTCGATCATTTTCTTTGATATTAGATCCGAAGTCGTACGCTGATTCAATAAAGAGCATAATGTTAACAAAAAAGGAAATAACTGAGTACGTATAAACCAACTTATCTCACATGTATTTGTGTATACGATAGGTGGACAAATCCAGTTGACCTGTATAAATTAGTCATGTTGTTAACAAAATTAAAAATCTATTAGTGGGTTTTAATTCAGCAAAAAATGTTAATGGATACTTACGTTTTTAAGTTTCAAACTTTTCACATACTGCACTGAACTGCAAACAAAATAATAAACATTGTGAGAAAAAAAAAGCAATACAATATTCAAATAAGAGTTAAGAAGCGAAGATGGAGATTCTATGATTAGTTTACAAAACAGAATTTTCCGGTCATGTGAGACGAAAAAAGTTTTTTTTCTTAAATAACTTAGATTATGAAAGAAATTGTCAAAAAAAAAAGAAGAAGAATGAAAGATATGTAACAATAGAAAACAAGTCATGTGATATAAACGTTACTCAGAAAAATTTCCATCCTTATCATGCAACCATACTATACTGGCCCTTTGATCTCCTTGAGGTTCCACAAAATGATCGCATTTTAAGTCAAGTACATTTGCTCCATTTCTACTACCTGCAAATATTTTACCATTAAAAAAGTCATTAACCAAACAAACTTTTTTGAGAGTAGTAGCCCACAAACTTAATAAAAACTACAAAAAAAAAAAAGCAACATGCACCAAAACATTTCAGAATAACAAAAATAAATAAACAAAATCATGCTTTTGTTGAAAATAACTTGTTGGAGACTACAAAAAAAGGATCGGAGATTTCTTTTATTTCATATAAAAATTTCAGAGTTGCACACTATATTGATGGGAAATGGAAGATAATGAAAAGGAGAGAAATGCAAAAAAAAAAAAAAAAAAAAAGGAGAGAAATGTGAAAATATACACCAAAGAGTGATGTGAATATCTACAAGAGTATAACCTCACAATAACAACAAGAAAAGAAGAAGAAGAATAAACTAACATAACATGAAAAATCAAGAAGGAAACAAGACATACCAGAAGCCGCCATTTTTTGATGAGAAGAAACTTGACTAGTTTTTTTTTATAAACTCAGCAGATTTTTGTTCTATATTTTGAAAGGAGTTTCGGAAAACCAGTGATGGGGAAAATATGTGAGGAACAATGTGTATATTTATACACCCAAAAAAGCAAACACATGATGTGAGAAAGAATATTCCATTATTCTTTTTCTATTTCACTAAATCAAAATGTCAAATACATTGGTCGATCACTAATTAATGAAGGAAACCTAATTAATTAGATGTTTCACTATCAATATGTGCCACCACACCTAGGTTTTACTGTATTCTTCCTAATTCTATAAAATGATAAAAAGGAAATTGAACGTATGATATTTACCGTGTACTACAGCTGGAAACCAATAATATATTTCATATTATTTTTTTTAGTTGAATTCATTGGAAAACAACTATACATATTTGTAAAATTACAATATCTATAAATCTGATAATTAGTAGAGATTTTAGTATTTTACACATAGATCTTAGAAACTAATAATATAACTCATTTTTTTTTTTTTTTTTGATAACCCAGTGTCCAGACCACACAGTGATCCGACTAGCCCACTGGGCCTAAGCCCGCGTGCCTGGGATTTTTAAGCCTCCACTTAAGGGCCCCCCGGAACTGGTGGTCTGGGACGCTGCGCCCCGCAGGTAAATTGCGCAGTGGCCAAGCGGAGATCTAGCAATTGCGCGCTTGCGGGGAATCGATCCCTGGCCTAGACCAACAGGGCAACTCCTCCACAAGTGACAACCACTAGACCAAGAACACTTGGTTAAACTCATTTTCTAAATATATATATACCATTTTGTAGGGCATGCACTACCTACACATGTATGTATGAAAATTTTTGCTAAACAGTTTTACTTTAGTTTTTTTGGTAAGGACAGTTTTACTTAGTTGGTATACACATTTTGGCAAAATTATAATAGCTATATATCCCGTAATTATTATAGATTTAAATTGAGGAAACCACAAAGAAAACAAAAACTATAAGTATACGTCTACGACTACAAGATATATTATATGGGATGAGTCGTTGACTCGTTTCAAATGACGAAGTGAGTCATTAGTGGTCCAAACTTAAAGAAAAGTATAACTAAGGTATTTAGGAAAACTTAGTCGCTTCAAATTTCTAATTGAGGCATGGTGTGGTATACATAAATGATACATACACATAAAAGCAAATTAAACTAATAACAACTAAGAATCCCATAACTAGTATAGAGTTTAATTAAGGAAACCACAAAGGAAAAGAATCTTGACTATGAGTAATTTCACATTACTAAGTGAGTCACGAGCGTGGTCCAAACAAAAAAAAATTTCCACCCTCATTGTGGAACACGTAAACTTTAATATTTCCATTTTTTTTTTCAAGTCACACAACTATACCTATTAGAATCTCTAATACGTGAGATGTCGAAGCTACCTTAAAACCTGATTATCAATTTGGTTAGTACTTGGTATTCTTCCTTTGCACGTTTTGGTGGTTTCTAAAAAAACAAAAATAAAATTCCTATATAGAACAAAAAAAAGAAGGGCATATATATAGAGTTCTTTTCCTTCCAAATCTCATAGACAGAAGCTTGGAGGAATAACTTGCAAATATAATGTTGAGTTGGTGTTTCTAGAATCTGAACAAACGCAAGCAACAATATGCACACGGCTAGAAGGATCAAAATTAAAGGTCAAGATGTTCGTTGGTCACATTATCAAATTGGTGTACTAATTAATTAACGGTCCATATTTGTCTTCCTAAATTACTCGATCTTATGTTTGAAAAAACTAAATACTTTATTTTCACCTTTTTTCTTTTTGCTATCTTGAAAAAGGTTACCACAACTTGATAACACCAACTGAAAAATTGAAGAATCAAGAAGGAAAAACAATAAAAATTATTTTCAAAAAAATAAAGATTAATCTGCAACAATATACCTAATTAATTTCTTCCTAAGTCTACTTTCCTTTTGATAATATCTTTCTGATTCTAATATGCTAGCTAGTTCGAATTATATTAATTAACATGGTAAATGGGTCAAATAGTTTGTATAGAGAAAGGAAACATATTAAAAACTAAACTGTATATACGTAATATATATCATTTAATCACATATTTCATTACCAAATATTGGTTTATCAATTTATATCTTGGCTTAATTCCAATATTAGTCATTTTCACTTATAAAAAGAACGTAACATAATTAATTCCTATATACAAAAGATCAAGAAGGAAAAACAAACTACGTATACCATAAAGTCTGAAAAACCAATAACTTAGTAGTCATATAACATGAGTCACGCTAATTTTATTTCATGACAAATAAAATAAACGACGATAGTAAATTAATCACTAGTCACTAGATCATAGAGGAACATCTTTATGGTAGACATTCTTTTGGGTGCACATCATCACGCGAGCGGGAGCTTCTCTTCCAACCAGCTTTTGACCATTTCGCTGCGATTGATCTCATGAGCAGTCGGTCCAAACCTAAGTCACATTGTCATATATAACCCAATAAACTTATTAGACACAAAATGTTCAAACCAAAAATGGTATATAGAGCAAAATAACTGATGTTTATATACCTTGCTAATGGTAGGAACCTGACCTCTCCAAATCCAGCATTTACAAGGGACGCAGTAGCTTCTTCTCCACAGCTACATGAGTGAGGAACTACAGGATCGTCTGCGACACATATTATCATAAAGATTTAGCATTGCCTCTGATCATTATCTAAAGAGGAAAATAAATACATGGATTTACCTATTCCATGCGTAAGAAAGATTGACTGCAATGCAGCACGAGATTTAGCAACAAGTGTATAAAATTCTATGCTGTTTTTTACGGACCTGCAAGGTTGAGGAATTAGTACTCTTTCATCATTCAATGAGATGTGAAATTAGTTTTAAGAAATTATTTGAGTATATACCATGACTTAGCAAGCCACCCGCTGATTGCAACAACAACTCGAGGATTTATAGGATAATGGTTAAGAGCACAACTTGTTGCAAAGTGGAGAGCTACTGCTGCACCCATGCCAAAACCACCCACTCCTTTTATGACTACATATAAAACAAAGTTTTAGTGATTGACTATATATATATATATATATATAGAAGATTGTTAAGGCCATTTTTTTATTTTTGTTAAAGTCCCTAATAATTATGGGTCTACATTAATTACCATTTTCTGGTTCTTCCAAGAAAAGTTTATTAACAAGTTCAGCTGTGGGATATAAAGCCTCTCGAACATATTGGTTGATTTTATATCCGGGTTTGTTCCCTGATTCATCAAAGAGGAATGTACCACCATTTTAGATGTTTATATATTCTAATAATATATAATTTGGTGACATCAAATAATGTTTACAAGAAAACTGAGTATAAGCCAATTTATCTCACATGAATCTGGGAACACGAGAGATGGACATATCCATTTGACCTGTATATAAAATATTATTCACGTTGTTAACAAAATTAATAGCTATTATTAGTGGGTTTTAACATAAAATGTTCATGGATACTTACATTTTTAAGATTCAAATTTTTCACAAACTGAACTGAACTGCAAGAAGAATATAAACATAATAAGAGAAAGCAACGAAAATACAAATAAAAAATAAAAGTTAATTAAGAAGCGAAGATAAAGTTTCATTAATTTACAAAACACAAAATATTCGGTTCATGTGAGACGAAATTTTTTTTGCATATAATTAACTTGGATTAGAAGAAATGAAAGATATGTAACAAAACAAAACAAAATATAAACGTTACTCAGTGAAATGCTCATCCTTATCATGCAGCCATACTATAGTGACCCTATGATCTCCTTTAGGTTGCACAACAGAATCAAGTACATCTGCTCTGTTTCTACTACCTGCAAAGATTTTACCATAAAACAGCGTCATTAACCAAACAAAATTGTTTGAGAGTAGTAGCCTATAACTTAATAAAAATTACGAAAAAGAGAAGAAATATATTATAAGAGATAGCTTTTATTCATTAGAAAATTTCAGAGTTGCACACTACATTGATGGGATATGGAAGAGAAAGAAAAGGAGATCAATGTGCAAAAAACACACCAAAGAGTGATGTGAATATCTAAGAAAACATAAACCTCACAATAACAATTAGAAAAGAAGAAGAAGAAGCAATAAACTAACATAACATGGAAAATCAAGAAGGAAACAAGACATACCAGAAGCCGCCATTTTTTGATGACTAGTTCTTTTTTTTTTAACTCAGCAGATTTTTGTTCTATATTTTGAGAGGAGTTTCGGAAAACCAGTGATGGTGAAAATATGTGAGGGACAATGTGTATTTATACACCCAAAAAAGCAAACACATGATGTGAGAGAGAGAATTTCTCTATTTCACTTAATCAAAATGTATATATGAATGTTTACTAAATAGTTTTACTTTATTTGGTATACTCATTTTGACAAACTTATAATAGCTATATATATTCCGTAATTATTATAGATTTACATTAAGGAAATCAAAAAGAAAAGAAAAAAACTATGAGTACGCCCACAAGATATTTTATGTGGGATGAGTAGTTTCAAATGACTAAGTGAGTCATTAGTCATTAGTCCAAACTAAAATAAAAGTATAACTAAAGTACTTAGGAAAACTTAGTCGATCGCTTCAAATTTCTAATTGGGGCATTAGTGTGGTCCAAACTCAAAGAATACATACACATAAAGCAAATTACTAACAACTATGAATCCCATAACTAATATAGAGTTAAATTAAGGTAACCACAAAGAAAAAGCATCTTGACTATGAATACAACTTCAAATATTTATAGGAAATAAGTAATTTCATATGCGACTAAGTGTGAGTCACGAGTGTGTTCCAAACAAAAAGAAATTTCCATCCGATCCAAATTGTGGAACACGTAATAAACTTTAATATTTCTATTTTTATAATTTAAGTCACACAACTATACCTTCAAATCTCTAGTCTCTAGACGTGAGATGTCGAAGCCACCTTAAAACCTGATTATGAATTTGGTTAGGACTTGGTAGTCTTCCTAATTCTACTTTTATTTTGATAATATAATGAGTCGTTTCAAATTTGTAAGCAAGTCTGGTCCAAACTCGAGACACATACACGTTGGCAAATTAACAAGTACTTAATCAATTAGTATAGAGTTAAATTAATAAAACCACAAAGAATGAGAATCTTGACTATGAGTACAATTTCAAATATTTATGGGAAATGAGTAAATTCCGATGATTAAAGTAAGTCAAGATTTTAATATTTCCTACTTTCTTACGTGTCTTTTGAAGTTATCATTCACTCTACAATGCCTCTCATGCATTTGACAAGAATACTTTTTTTTTTTTTTTTGTTAAATGGCTATGTAATTTTGACAAGAATGTTAGATTAATAGCTTGTATACATATGTTGCTGCATGGACATCTCTCCACCTTTTTATGTTCTTCACGTACTCTACTCTCTAGTTATTGCTTCATGTATATATGTTAGTTCGATTTGATCCAAATTCAAACTGAAAACCAAACCATACCAAATCGGAAATGCATCAAACTGAACTGAAATCGAAACCGATTTCAAAGTCGTTTTATTTGTAGTTTTTGATGTTAAACATTAGCATGATGTCTTTTGTTTGGTCGACTTGTAAATTGATGAGTGAGACTACAAATACTCCAACTAATATATTTTAAAACACTAGATGAATACCCACGCGTAGCGTGGGTTTGTTTTAAAAGTTGTTAATAACAAATTATTTTGATTGTTCTTGTTGCTAGTTAATCATCCGCTTTATGCCGCGGTTTTTTTCCGGTTTTTTTTTTATTTTGATTTATTTGATGTTATATTTTGATAAATGTAATTTTTAATTATCTAATCATTTATTCATACAATGAACAACTACTCTTAGTATTAAAATACATTTTCAACCAACATACTCAACAATGCATCACTCACACAATCCGTAAACAATCTTTCCTAAACCAATTTTATAGATGGTAATGTTGGGATTATAGAACCACCAAAATTTGATGACCTTACGTACTCTTCACCCCCAGTGTCATATATAGATCAAAAAAATAAGAGAAAAACTTACTCAAACCATTAGCTAATCCACTATACTATTATCCACTCATATTTTGAGTTAAGATTACAAAAATTAGGAAAAAAAACTTTGGAGTATATAAAACCAATAAAATAATTTCATGGAAAAAAACCTAAAATAACAAAATAAGTTAGTATTAGTTAAAATCAATATGTAAAATTAAATAATATATATAATTAAATAATAAATATATTATTAACTTGTGAAATAGATTTTCAAATTCATATGGGCTATCCCTCATGGGCTATTGTGTTTTCCCCATTTGATATTTATAATTAGAAGCTGATGTGTAAAAAATAAAAGATGAGTCATATTAATGAAATGTTTTGATTGGATGGAAAAAAAGCTGATGTGGCATCTCCAGAAGAGCCTAAAATGCTGACGTGACGACCATATGGAGAGAGATAACCTCTTTTCATATATATGATTTGAAACTAATTAATACCACAACCGTTTTAAAATGTAGGATGTTCCAACTAAAGGCACAAAAATTTAAAAATGTGGCATTACTATTAAATTAAACTAAATGCAACCAATAATAAATATACTGCGTAACAAAATTTGTTGCACTATATTCATTCCAAAATCCTACCAAAAATATTCATTCCAAAAAAAAATTGTTGCAAAATATCAAATAATTTTAAAATTTGCATAGAAATTAGAAACTAAAAAAAAAAGAGATTGGTTAGGGATGAGAAAAGAAAAATTTCTGATTACTCTGCATTGAAAAAAAAAATTAATTAAACAGCTTTTAATGATTTATTATCATTTTTGGATAAAATTATTATTTATTATCTTAGGTCCCAAAACTACTTGATTTGTCGAACCTCTGGTCTCTGATCATTTCAAGTCCGAATTTTGTTCATCCCCAACATGAATACCATTCTATATTCAAGCCTCAAGCAAAATTCGAAGATTCACACAAATTCTGGGTTTTATTTTGTTGATTTATTCCTGATTTTCACAACAAAATCGAAGCTGTTGAGTGTACTATGTATATTGCACACTAGGTGTTCGACGAAATTCCCCAATGCAAAAAATTCGTTTTTTTCTTCATTAAAGACTTGTGTCACGTGGCTCTCACGTTATAAAAGCCAGCTTCTTCTTCTTCGATACAATTCTGTTATTTTTCGTTACTTTTTTTCCCGCTTCACAAATTTCTCTAAACAAGAAAAACCCTCGAGAGACGCAAGAAACCTTCAAGAATCTTGAGAATCGTTTACAATGGAGTCTTCTTCTATCAAGGAGGGAAAATTCTACAAGGCTGCTAAAGATCACATCGCTAAAGGAAACTACATCAAGGCATTGAAGATACTTGAAGACTTGAGTCGAATCCATAAGGAAGATCAAAACGCATGGCTTATTCGTCTCAAACAAGGTCAAGTCTTCTTAAAACTATCGCAAGAAACAGAGAACTCTGATATGGAATTCACATACTTGTTAGGTTCTGTTGGATGTTACTCTGAAGATGATAGGTTATCACCATTTTGCGCAAAATCACTCCACATTTTGGCTAACAAGCTTGGATCTTTGATGTATTACAAGAGGTGTTTGGCGAAAGCAAAAGTAGCTTTAACTGTTACTTTCGAGGATATCACGGATTCTGCTATTCGGCAAAAACGATTGAATGAAACAAATAAGGCAATGTTGAAAGTAATCAAAGATGCAGAGTCCAAGATTGCTTCTCCGGAGACTCTAGTTGCTTCTACTATGAAACAAATCTCTCAACCAAAAGTTTTGGAGTCAGAGAAAAGTTCAGAACCACGTGAGGATGTGATTAAAAGAATGAGGTCGTTTTGGGCGGGATTGGATGTTAAGGTCAAAAGGGAGTTTATGAAAGTAAGCATTCCAAAGCTTAAAAGTCATGTCGAGAGAGTATGGTACAGAGATGGACGAGATGTTTTGGAGAATATTCTTGCTTCTGCAAGGAAAGACATGATATGGACATTCTGGATGTGTTGTTCGAAGAAGTTCTCTAGTGCTGAAGAATGTAAGAATCACCTTAAAGAAGTACATGCTGCAGAACTTAAACCTTGTATAATAAAGGAGAGGGTCCAGAGAATAGGGAAGGACTGGGCTCGTAAGATATCTGTTGGAAGTTGGGAACCAGTGGATGCAGTAGCTGCCGTTGAAATGATCAAGAATCAGCTCGCAGTTGTGAAAGTGTTTGCATCTAAATGTAAGAATGGATGGTCCAGAGAATGGCCTTTAGTTGCGGATGAAGAGCGCGGTAAGTTACTCAAGGAAATCAAATTGCTCCTTGTGTCGCTTTGTGACCATAAAACGTTATCATGTAGTGTTCGAGACTGGGTGTTGAGTTTTCCGGTTAAGCATCTTGAAAAACTTGAAGTCTCTACACAGAGTCTTGTCGATTCTCGACTAGTGGAAACACCTCAGAGTATCTGTTTTTTGGAATGTCATGAACTCAATCAGATTCTAGACTTTCTAAATAACATAAAGTGTGTAAGGAATGATGGTACAGATCTAGTTTGCAGAGCAGTGGACAGTTTCTTGGATCGTACTCGGGTTAAAGAAAAGATTGACTTTGACCCTCAATTTTCATATCTGCTTCTGGATAGAAGACTGCTGAAAAGTAATAACGCTCCATGTGATGATGAAGGGACAATCAATGTTTTTGATCCCATTGTCCACTACGCCAAGGCACATGCTCAGGGAGATGATATCATATCTTGGTTAACTGAAAACAACTCAGTAGATAAGACCTTTCCCAAACCTGTCAGGGAATACAATCTTGATATATGGGTAGCTGTTCTCAGAGCTGTTCAGTTCACATGTAGGAATCTGGAAACCAAATACGAAAATAAAGTGTTGGTCTTAGGCTATGGCGGAGCTCTTAATATAATCGAGAGCATATGTATGAGAGAAGATGAAAGGAGAAGGAATCTGCAGGAAGATCAGTGGATCAGATATGCATGTCTTCTGTGCGACAGCTGTGAAGAGATAGTTTCCGAAAATTCCCTCGCTGCAAAAATATACTTGTGTGCAGTACGAGATGTTTTCGAAGGAGCATTGCTTCCAACATTTGATGTCCCTGATTTAGAAGACTGCTTAAATCTTATACGTGAGCAGAAAAGTCTTAGTGACGATAAAGTGTTGGAGTCCATAGGCCTTCTGAAATTAGTGGTCACCCACAAGGTTCATTCATGACTGTAATATTCATCATTAACAACAGAG